TATATATATATATATATATACGCCATCTTATTTATGCATGAAAGGATGTACTTCACTTTTTACATGTTAAAATAATCATATTTTGATGTGATATGAAAAATCTGGGTGTTATAAATGTAAAAGTAGCGTTTAGGTGTTAGATATGCAAGTGTTAGATGTAATATGAAAGATCTCACTTTTTAGGAATTGGGTGGTATGTATGTGTTGAAATCAGATTTGTCCTTGAATCAAACCCAAAGAATAGAGTGTTGAGAAGGAGAGAGAACAAGGGGGTAGAGAGAGAAAGGTGAACAGCTGAACTAAGGCAAAGATGAACGGGATGGAGGACAACAAAAAGGGATTTTTCTTAGCTCGAGTAAGTGGAAGGTTGGAATCGGATCAAACTTGATTGGTTCAGGGATATCCCATTACATTTAATGGTCCTTATTTATAGGGGTTGGCCTTTATAAAATGACATATTTAGACACACATCATCCCTATATCTTTATGCACACATAGTTGTCTTTAATGGTCATATCCCCACTACAGTTTGGTTCTTGGAGAGATCATCTTCTGGTTGACTTCTTTGCTAAACGGGGAGGTTCTCTGCCTCTATTGATTCTTGTATTCGGTTATTCATACTCAACCTGTCGTACTCCGCCGTACTTAGCCTATGAGTGGTTTATTAACTTCCATCTAATTGCCAGATGTTCTGAGTTGACTTTTTTGTAGTCCAATTTTGAATTCATCTGCTCAACTAGCTTCTATTGATTTAGTCATAGATATTTAGTTCCATGATTCTCTCGTATCTTAGGAAGTTGTGCTGCGACAAAAATGAGAGAATTAATGTCTAATAGTGAATTGGTCAATGAACAATCATCATAAATAAGGCATTTAATGTCCTCGCCGATTCTTTTGCCTTTGATGCCTATAAATAGCGGGAGTCAGATGAAACTTACATACCTTCTTTCAGCCTCGCTTTCAAAAGGTGAAGTTCTAGCTTGTTGGTTTCAAATATCGATTCCTCGGTATTCAATGTCGGGCACTAGAAGGTTCGTTGAGCCTCCAAGTTGGTTTTCAAAAAGGTGAAGTTGTAGTTTGTTAGCTTCAAACAACGAATCGGTATTCAGTGTAGGGCACTAGAAGTTTTGTCGAGCCTCCAAGGTGGATGTACCAATGAGGACATATCCGCCTAGATTGATTCCATCTAGGTCCCTTCCTGGTGATCCAAAGTTGGAGGCAAGGGTCCAGTGATAGTTGTTGTTGGTGAGGCTGATCAAATGTTACATAGTTGGGGATAATTTTCTAGGTATCAAACATCACTTTTGGAATATTTTTTTCAAAAGTTGAGACTGGCATTGGACCTCATGGAAGACCCCCTTATCATCATTAGGGTTCCTAAAGATCCCATCCATTAATTTCCGACGATCGGCGGTCCCCATTTTCTTCACATTCACTTCCGCAGAATCGAAATACCTCTGGGCTTCCTCGCCGGAATCTCGGCTTTCGAGAGGACGGATTCCGGCACCGCTGTCGACAGAACTTCAATATCACGTCCTCTATAATCGATAAAATTTACATATATCATGCTTTGAAAGGCGGCGATCGTGCTCTCAAGCCTAATCTTGATGCCATTTTTTCTCATCTTGATGTCAACACCCCTACTCTGGACTAGAGTGTGCGTTGTAATATAGAATTCAATATACATGATTGGGTTGATGATGCCAACGGTCTAAAGGATAATAAACACGTGATGAAGTCAATTAGAAATGTTCAAAGCTTAAACTTGAGCTTAAAAAAATAATCATTGATTTTGTTGGTGTTTAATTGGGTTGATTTTTTTATTTATTTCATTAATTATTTGTTTTCTTATTTGTGAAAATTAAGCTAAATATTAGCTTATTTAGTAATCACATGTTTGATTGTCTCATTGATATGCATGTTTGTAGGCTTACTTTAAGTTTACATAGATTACATAGAGTTTGATACTTATATTAAATATGAAATTAATTTTGTAAATTAAGGACATTGGCTTATTAATGATATCAATAAAATTCCTTAATTAAGTATTTAAGGTTTTGCAAATTTACTAGGCTCAACATGTTCAATTTTTTTCATCAAATTTGTCCAATACGATTTATTAAGGTAGTTAAAGTTTAATTATATAAATATGTTATAGTTAAGTAATAGTCTTAAATTTGATTCCAAAAGATTCATTGAGTTGTTTCTCATTCATTTTGCTAAGTAGTATCATGTACTTTAAATTTATATTCATTAATTTATGTTTTAAATAAGATGTCATTGTATTTATCAAAAATGTCATTAACAAAATTGACCAAAACATTTGCATCTCATGCAAGTCAGATCGGGCTTTGCGTGTTATGGATATGCCTAATAATAGAGAAATCATGTGTAAAGAGAAGAGTTTTAGTCTTCCATGTTTTGGACATATCGACAAAGTGAGTCAAATAACACGAGCAATGGTTAAACTTTTTTGGTTGCGGGTGTGTTGGTAGGATCCAAATATGAGGGATGGTGCATCAGTTGTTTGTCATAAGTTGTTTGTGTTTAACTAGGATGAGTTATGGAGCGAGTATTGAGGTAGACTCCCATATAACAAAGCTAGGTTAATTTCAATATTATTAAATTTACCTTTATTCTCTAAGATATTAACTTATCACACAATATTGAGGCATTTTCTATTTTAACCTTCTAAATCTTAACTCTAAGAGATATGCCCACATATATATCCATAGATATTTAAACTTTTCACACATTCGCATAATGGTATCATTTTCTTATCATACAAAAATATTTTTTGGCAATTATTAAAATAATACAAGCTAAAATTACATATCATATACTTGATCATGCTCTGCTACATCTAAACCTTTTATCTTCTAAATTTTATCTCCATTTCTTTTAGTGAATGAGTCTAAACCATTATTATGCCATGCAAAAGCAAAAACAATTGTACCTCACTTTGTATATCTTCTGAACATCATTCATAACTTAAACAAAATAAAAACTTGCCACAGGAAAATGCAGAGTTGCATAATTTCAGATAAAAGTAATAAAGTTCATTCCGACTTCCAAAATTAGCAAAATATGTTCCTAACCCTAGTTCTGACGAAAAAATATTATATTAAAAGTTCTTATGCAGTTTAACATCAGAGCTCCAATCAGGGCATGTCACGTGTACATACAGACCCATCTTAGTAAGAAAAATAATCTAATATATGAGCGGGTCTGTTTGTACACGTGGCAGGTTTTGATTGGAGTTCAGATGCAAATTTGCATCAAGACTCTTAATGCAATAATTTTTCAGTGGTGGCAGACAGCAAAGGGATTCATGATTAATCACAAAAATGGCAATGAAATTTTGCGGATTAGCTTTAGCGAACCCTTGGAAGCACACAAGCACTTTCCAGGTGAGTAGGGAGATAAGCCATTAATACAATCGCCGGATTATAACAAATTTAAGATCGGCAGCTCAACAAGTTCTAGGTTGTATTGGCTGCAGGATCTAAAGATGGCTGATTTCCATTGATTTAAATTGAGGATTAAAAATGAAGAAAATCACAGTTGGAATTCTTCATTACAGCTTAATCAGATTAATAAAAGGAAACCTAACTTAAGTTCATTGCAGTCGGAAGAAAGGAAACCCTAGCGAACTGTTAATTCAGAAAATGAATAAGAACGATGAGAAAGAGAGAGGAAGAGAGAACGGTAGTATCATCTCACCTTATCAGCCCAATAGGAGTGATATGGAGATCAGCAGCTGGATCTTTCGTCAAGGAGAGTGGAAGAGAGAGAGGGAGATTGGGAACTGGGATGGGGAAGCAGTGCTTGAAATATTGAAATAAAGAGTTGGAAGCATCAAACCGTTGATTTCGAAACGGCAAAGCATATTATTAAAGGAAGATCTATGGGAATCGCTGTGGTCCGTCAAATTCAAAATGGAAGGGCAGGATTTGGTGTCCGTTGGATTTGCTTCTTAGGTAACCGAGTACTTAACTGGCCACAAAAAATTAGAACCCAAATCAGGCTGTCCAATAGTGAATCATGGTTCAATTCATTCTCATAGTTTAATTCTTTCCAATTTGACTATATAGTTCTATGCTTGAGAATAAAAATAAAAAGGAATTGTAAAATGGATATTTTCATCTAAATTGTTCTAAAAAAAGTCGAGAAATTTGCGTACATAATGCAACATTTTTTAGGTATTTGCATATCTAATACCAAAAAATTTGATATTTATACTTAACTTTTGATATCATAAACTAATGAATAAAAAATGTGAGTTGCACTATTACAAAATCATGAATAATGTTATTTTTATTTAACACTAGAGATTTGAGTTTTATAAAAGCAACTATAATAGTTTGGTCATAAATATATATAATTAGAATATTAGAGTATTAATCTACATAATTCTATATTAATTACTTTGATTAGCTTTTATTTACTTCTATTTTTTCCCATTATTATATTTTTATTTGTTTCCGTATTAATAGATCTTGTAATGAGTATTTATATCCCTCTTTGTATCAATAACAAATACCCTGGTTCTATACTAACATGGTATCAGAGGCATGACCCTAACGTAGCTACTGTTGGGCACTCCTTGTCGCCCACCCATATCTCCCAGTGGAAGCACTGTCTCCCACCCTGTTCTAACTCTGCAAGCACTGCCTCTCACCTTGATCTCCCGCTAGAACCTTTGTCTCTCAAGAACAGAAGATATGAACGCTGAGATGAACCTCTGTCTCTTGAGCCGCCCAGATCAACCTCCCAGTCGGTCGATGCCTCCCTAGAATAGGTGATCTGACCGTCGGAACCTTTCTCCAGCCGGTCAGAAGAACTTCTTCCAGCAGGGACCCTTTCCCGAGGACATCTACCTTCTCTTCAGCAGTCAAAACCTTATGATGTTTCAACAACCTAACATCTCATTTGACTTAATCGGAGTCACGACGGACTCCTCCAGCACTAAGTCATTTTCAAAAGAGGTTATTGATTCTAGTAGATGATCAATTCCTATCTTCGTTCCTCTACAGACCGAAGGACAGAAAAACAACGTGAACTTCATGATTACAACCTGAAAACTGAACGACACTAATTTTCTCCAATGGTTCCAATCTATTTTCTTGTTCAACAAAAGGCGTAGGAAATTTGGTCATCTCACTAGTGTGATTCATGAAATTCCAAAGGCTGTCCCAACATATGAAGCTTGGGAAGTGGAGAATTTTATAGTCATGTCGTGGTTGATCAACTTCATGGAGACTTCTATTGGTCGATCATTTATGTTACTTCCTTTCGCTAGTGCCCTCTAGACTGCAGTCTATAATACCTACTTATATGTAGGAAATTCTAGCCAACACTATGAGGTATCTAAGAAAATTGTGAGGCAAAATAAGGATCGAGGAGTGTGACCTAGTCTTACAATGATCTAATTGCATTATAGATAGAATACAACTTGTATTATGATTACACTTAGAAATCTCTGGCTGACCTATCTCTCTTTCAGAAAATTATAGAAAATGACCGCATATTCCAATTTATTGCAGGCCTCAACAAAGATCTTGCGAAGTCTGGTACATTATACTTGATCGAGATTATCTTTCTTCCACTCGCGTAGCCTTCATTGAGATTCATCATGAAGAGGCCTAGAAATTTTTCATGCTTGGTGCTTCTGATCCATCTGCTGAAATATATGTCTTGGTCTCTAATAGTGCTCAAACCCGGGCTTGACACCCCATCTGTGATTACTGTCACAACTCAACCACACTCGTGATAAATGTTGGAAGCTCCACAGGAAACCTGCATACAGACTGTCGGCCAAATTTTTGTTTCTTAAGGTTCTCACTATAGCTTATGAATTCAACACAGTATAGTTGACCTCTATCTAGAACAATCCATAATTCTCCTAAAAGTCAAATGGAGAACTTAATCAAGCTGCTTGGATTCAGTCCGCTCTCTTTTGGCCTGTCAACCTCTCATGTTTTTCAAGGTATCAATCTTATCACTCTCACTTCTTTTGCCTCTTATGGTCCATAGATTATTGATTCAAGTGCCACAGATCACATGACTGGAAGCTCTTAAGCCATCTTGATATATTATCCTTGTTCAACGAAAGATACAGTTAAAATTGTTGAAGGATCCTAAAGTTCCATTGTTGGTAAAAGGTCTGTTGTTTTAACAACATGTTTAATTATGGAATCTATGTTACATGTACCTCTGCTAAGTGTAACCTTTTATTTGTCACTAAGTCGACTAATGACATTGATTTCATTGCTCATTTTTTCTCCGATGTTTGTGTTTTTCAGGATTGTCATTTGAGGAGGATGATTAGAATAGTTAAGCGGGTTGATGGGCTCTACTTCTTCCAAGAAAAAAACCACGAAGAATGAGGATACTCCACCCTATAATTGTAGTTTATCTCAGTCCATTGAATGATCTATTTTGTTGCTACAGTGTCATTTGGGTCATCCTTGTTTTGTATCTAAAATAATTGTATATGTTGATATTTACTAATAAAAATTCTTTTAATTTTAAAAGTGAAACCTATCAATTATCTAAACATCATCGTGTTCCTTATCCACCATACAATACACATTTTCCACTCATTTCTCTCTTATTCACAATGACTTACGGGGACTCTTAGCTAAACCAATAAATGACGGTTCCCTATTTTGACTGATGACCACACTCGGATGACATGAGTCTAAATTTTAAAAGATAAATATAAAGTTTTCATCATCTTCAAAAAATTCCACACTTCCAAAACTTCATTTTGACTCAATTTAAAACTCATATTCAAGTCCTTCAGACTAACAATAGTCATGAGTTTTTTAACTCTATATTAGGAGAATTCTTGGTAAGTAAAGACATCCTCCATCATAGCTTAGGTACTGACACTCCTCAACAAAATGGGATAACAAAGATAAAAAATTGTCATCTCCTTGACGTTACTTGCTTCGATGTGTTTCACTCTAATGTCCCAAAATATTTCTAGAATAATGTCATTCATATAGCCACTTATCTCATTAATAGTGTTCCCTAAAAAATTTACAACTTCTATATCCATTTAGCCATCCTAAGATCATGCTTTCATAACAATCGAGTATTCTCCACTTTAAATCCCAAAAATTTTTGGTGCACAACCTTTTTTTTAGAACACAACCCCAATTGAAAGTAAACTTGATCCTAGGTCTATAAAATATGTTTTTCTCAGATATCCTGCCACTCAGAAGAGGTGTCATTGTCTTTAACATTTCATAAATAAGGTCTACGCAGATGTTGATGTCACTTTTTTGAAAGTATTTTGTACTTTCCTAACTCGGCATCCAGTGAAGGGGAGTTAGAGTTCTTGGACACTATTTCTTACATACCCCTCCGTGATGTTCACCCTCTTGTCACCTACCATCGAGGGATGCATTAAGGCAGGAAACAAGCCATAT